AAGATCCAGGATAAAGAAGGCATTCCCCCTGACCAGCAGAGGCTCATCTTTGCAGGCAAGCAGCTGGAAGATGGCCGTACTCTTTCTGACTACAATATCCAGAAAGAGTCCACCCTGCACCTGGTCCTTCGTCTGAGGGGTGGCTGTTAATTCTCCTGTCTGCATTCATGGTGTGCAGTTATAGTATTATGCTGCACATAGCCATTTGCCCCAATATAAGTTTAGAAATTACCAGTTTCAGTAATAGCTGAACCTGTCCAAAATGTTAATAAAGTTTTGTTGCATGGTAGCATATTTGGTGTTTGTTGTCTTTAAATTTTGTAGTTAATGTTGCAACTTCTTAATTAAAATGGTGTTGGGACAAGGGTTATCACTTCGAAATTGGTAATGTGGCCAAAATTGACACTTGTGTCGAGAGATGGGACCTTTGTCCTAAAAATTGGTGTCAAGCAAACATGTAAATAAACAATGGCTTTTTTTTCACATTGAGTAGATACAAACAGCTGCCTATACCTAAACAAACACTTAAGTTAACTTGGTTGAGGCTTTTGCTTCAGGTGAGTTTATAGTGCAATAAGGAAGTTATCAATAGGGAATAAAAGTGTCATGGGGAATGTATAAGGCAGAGAAATTGGGGTGACCTTCCTGGTACTAAAATATAAACTTTGGAACTTTTAAACTGGTTCTGAGAATTCCCTCAAAGCATAAAACAACATTTAAAGTGTATAACTGGGTTACTTGGTAAATTAGGTACTGCAAATAACAATTTTACTATTAGGCCAGGTTAATACTTCAACCCTCAGAGTGGAGGTATACTCTGGCTAGGAAAACCTAGGGGGTAGTAATGGGGGAAAAATGATTTCAAATCTTTAAAAAGGTTCCTTAAACCAGGTACTGTGGAATGTTTGCTTATAATAATGAGGAAGTAGATCCAATGCTAACATCCAATGTTAACATCTGCTCTCGCAAGATAAAAAGCTTTTGCCAGCTTTTAGTGAAATAAGAACACCTAGGTAGAAACAGTCTTCAATTCGAGCCGAGTTTGTGGCTCAGTGGTAGAAATCTTGCCTCGTATGGCACTGGGTTCAATTCTTAGCACCGCATATAGACAAAGGTCCATTATTTTTTAAAGTCTCCAATTTAAGGGCTAGGGATATAGCTTAGTTAAGAGTCCCTGCCTCACTTGCACAGGGCCCTGGGTTCAATCCTCAGCATCATCAAAAAAAAAAAAAAAGTCATTCTAAAGACTGGTGAAATTGTTTATGTAGAAATGTTGCTATGTAGAACAATGATTCATTGTGGTTCCTTAATGCTATAATCCAAGAATATTCAGTTTGGCGTATTCCTATTTTACTTTAATAAGGCATACAATCAATTGTAAACAGATATAGAGTAAAATAGTAAAGTCATTCTTCAGTGTCCCTCCCAACTTCATTTTTTTCACATCCTCCCACATCTTTATGCCACTTGTTAAAAATTTGGTATATTTATTACTAGATAATTTTCAAAATGTTCACATGATTATGTCATATAAAAGCATACTTCTACAGTTAGGTGGTGGCACTAAGCAACTCAGACCCTGTCTAAGGGTCTAAAGTACAAAAAAAAGGGCTAAGGATGTTTAATCCCTGGTAACCCCACCCCCCAGGGTCTTGGAGACACACACATGCTACTAATACATACAGGTACCTTTTTTTTTTTTTTTTAACCTTTATTATTTATGTGGTGTTGAGGATGGAACCCAGTGCCTCACACATGCTAGGCAAGCACTCTACTGCTGAACCACAATCCCAGCCCATGTACTTTATTTTTGAATAACAATATATTTTATTGTGTGGATATACCACATTTTACCCATTTCCTTATTGATGTATATTTACACTGTTTCTAATTGTTTACTTTTTGAGAGAATTTTAATATTTTTTAGTTTTCAGCAGACAAAACATTTTTTGTATGTAGTGCTGAGGATCGAACCCAGGCTGCATGCATGCCGGGTGGGCGCGCTACTGCTTGATCCACATCCCCAGCCCATCTAATTGTTTACTATTAATAATGCAATAAATACCCTTGTGTCTCTTGTCACTAAAGTCCAAGTATTCAGGTAGAATTTCTACATAAAAAACAGCATTTAAGGGGCAGGGGTTGTATCTTAGTGTTTGAGCGCTTGCCTTGCATGTGTGAGGTACTGGGTTGGATCCTCAGCACCACAGAAAATAAATAAAGCAAAGATGTTGTGTCTATCTACAACTAAAAAAAAAATAGTAAATTTTTGTGATTATTACAAAAAGTCCTTCAAAAAGTATCAGGGGCTGGGATTGTGGTTTAGTGGTAGAGCGCTTGCCTAGTATATGTGAGGCACTGGGTTCAATCCTCAGCACTACATATAAATAAATGAATAAAATAAAGGTCCATCACAGCTAAAAAAATTTTTTAAAGTATCATATACAATGTAATATTCAGGTTTTCTTAATTTTAGTTGTAGATGGCACAATACCTTTATTTTAATTTTTTATTTTTATGTGCTGAGGATCAAACCTAGTGCATCACATGTGTGAAGCCAGCGCTCTAAGTGATCACTGAGCTACAACTCCAGCTCCAATGTTCATTTTTGTTTTCTTTTTTTCTTTTGGTACTGGGAATTGAACTCGGGGGCACTCAACCACTGAGCCACATCCCCAGCCCTATTTTGTATTTTATTTAGAGATAGGGTTTCACTTAGTTGCTTAGCACCTTGCTTTTGCTGAGGCTGGCTTTGAACTTAGGATCCTCATGCCTCGGCCTCCTGAGCCCTGGGATTAGAGGCGTGCGCCACCGTACTGGCTCAATATTCAGTTTTTAAAAGGAAGGAAATCCTGACACTACAATATGGATGAATTTTGGGGGTTTTAAAGCAGTTTGCTTTTATCATTAAAACACAATCCCATCTTTTTACACCATTTCCCATCCACACTAGGGTATAATTTTACAGTTTGGTGTTGGCCAACTCCTTATCATCCCAGAATCTTGAGTGAAGGGTCTAGGCCCCAGGTCAACAGCTGGTATAAAAAGGTGCCTAAAGAAAGGTGAACCTTAGTAACAATGAGTCATCCATCAGCCTTGCTTTCTGGAGCCTGCTGTATAGACCCAGGTGAATTAATTACTTTGAGAGGGCTAAGTATACTCTGAGACCAGATAGCTTTTTGGGCATTGCAAGTAGAACACAATGACCCAGCTCCTTGGACTCCTTCAACAGGTGGCCGAGGCCTCCCAAAACCCAGCCTTGAGAAAAAGATTATGCACCCAATTTTCAGAACTGCTTTCCTTACTCTGTGAATGGAAAATACTGGCTTTTGCCTCCAGCAAGTGGTGTGTTTCCAATGTTTTTGGTGAGGAGAAAAAGTCCTTTAGGGCTTATCTGACAAACACTTAACTTGCATCTTCCCACCATGAAAAGCAGCCTTGGGACAGACTCATGGCTCCCACCTCTCACTTGTGGATTAGCTGCCAGCCTCCAAACCTGTTTTTCCTTGGCTTCCTGAGAAAAGCCTTCCTGAAAGCTGTTTTTCTGAGCATCAGGCTTCAGCATAATCTCCTTTAGAAGCTGAAATGGCCTGCTCTTTTTTAAAAAAATATTTTTATTAGTTATAGATGAAACTTTATTTATGTGGTGCTGAGAATCGAACCCAGTGCCTCACACATGCTAAGCAAGCGCTCCAATACTGAGCCACAACCCCAGCCTGTCCTGCTCTTTTTTTTTTTTTTTTTGCCAACACTTTAATATAGAATTTCTGATAGTTTTTTAGATTAATCTTCTCCCCTCTCTCCCAACTGGGATTTTCCTGGAAGCAGATGGCAAAATTTACTGGAACAATATGGCTCCTATCCCCACACTAGCCAAGACCTTGAGAAAGGGGACAGTGCTGAGCCTCCCAAGGACATAGCCAAAGGAATTTAGGAAAATGGGGGGCCTCCAATGGAGAGAGGATGGTTAACAGGTACAGGGATGTAGCTGGAGTGGGAGGAATAACTTATTGTTCTATAACAGTAGGATAACTATGGTTGACAATAATTAATTGAATATTTCAAAAAGTAGAGAGGATTTTTTTAATATTCCTGACACAAAGAAATGATAAATACCCGAGGTGGCAGTTATGCCAATTACCTTGATCTGATCATTACAGTTATACACACATGTATTAAAATGCCACACAGTATGCCATAGATATATAAATTATGCCATAGGTATTATAAATTATGCCATAGATATATAAATTATATATCATAGATATATAAATTTAAAAACAGAAAAGAAAAAATAGAGACCTCCAGAGATAAGGAGGGGAATTTGAAGGGGTAAAAGCGGGTGCTTGGACTGCGGCTATGGCTCAGTGGTAGAGCACTTGCCTAGCACGTATGAGGCACTGACTTCAATCCTCAGCAACACATAAAATTAAATAAAGGTATTGTATCCATCTACAACTAAAAAAAATTAAAAACATAAATAGGTAAAATAAAGGCATTGCTTCCATCTATGGAAAAAAAAGTGGTGCTTGAAGAGTCTGGAGATGTGAGAACAGTGGCTTCTAATCCTCTTGGCCTCTGTAGGCCTCTACCACTACTGGCGGCTGGTGCCTCCAGTCTCAATTCTGCCAAACCACAAGACTTCCAGTAATGTGCTGATTTCCTCTAAGTGGTTGCTCTTCTGCAGGCTGACTTCATACACTTAAAATAATTTGCTTCTATTACTTGCAGCACTGTTTTCTCCACTTGTATTTCAGGTCAGGGCAGCACTGGATGGCCTCAAACTCTGTCCATTGGGCTCAAGTGAGAGGAGCTTTATACAGCTTTTCTAATGTGGAAATTTATAATGAAAGAAGGGAAGGGCCCACACCTAAAGACATACAACAAAGGAAGACTAACCAATGTTTAGGCTCTCTCAAATAAGGTAGACAAGCCTCAAAGAGAGGCACCAGAAAAACACTTCATCGCATGAAGCAACTCCTCAAGCCCTAAACCACAGAATCCAAGGAGGAGAAGGTAGAGATGCTAACTTTCTGCAGAGCGTGGTTTGGGTATGCCCAGAACAGCCAGAACACCCCTTTCATACTGGAAAGGAAGAGCCAAATCACTCTGTGTGGGAAGGAAGCTCCCTGTCGTAATCGGGATCCAAAATACTCGCTGAGTAAATGATGAGTATGCTGTTCTACACTTTACCTTAAAGCCTGATATTTATAAAAACAAAATTGGTCTTTCTTACCCTGTGCAAAAAAAAAAAAAAAAAAAAGTATGCAGGCTACCCAGACAAATGTGCTCCG